AAAAAAAAAAAAAAAAAAAATGTAATCAACGGTTCGTCTATGCTTGATGAAAACGTTGTAGACATAAATTGAAACAATTATTAGTCTTCTCGTGCAAAAACTTCTGAACCGTAATGGTAATAATCTTCAATAGAAATTAAAGTTTTGTACACACAAGGCATTTTAAATAGAACCAAATAGCGATACAAACAATGTCCATCCATCATCAAGTTTTGTTACTATTGAAGGATTAAAGGTAAAAGTAAAAGCTCCCTCGGAGGTGTCGTCAACGTACCTGAGTCTACAGATGAGAAGTATGTTGATATAATTTATTATTAAGAGCTTGCAGACAGCGAGGACTTTGTACTCTTCGAGCTATATAAGCAACCGATTGATGCATCTTTAGTCAGTTCTTTCTAGGCAACAATCAGTCATCGTGCCACAGTTCTTCTTGGACAATATCGCCAACAATCAGTCGAAGTGAGTTAGTCTTTCTATACAATCTGGCCAGCAATCAAGCACTGCCTTTCGATCGAGTCATTCAAATATATAACTCGATTGGAAAAACCTCGTTGAAGTCCAATTTCGATGGCATAACAATGAGAATGTGACTTTTTACATTGAGAGGTTTAAAACATTTAAAAACAACTGATACGAAATACTTATTAATGCCAAAAATTCACATTCTTGGATGTAGTGGGATGGCTTCTGATTCATAGGGCATTGTGAGAGATACATGCAATTTAATATGAGAGAAATATGGTCATTCAGTTGTCAATTATTATCTGAAAATTTCATTAATCGAATACTTCTGTATGTTATGCGCCATTAGCTTCACTAGTTTGCGAAATTTTATATAGTATTAGTATGAGTAAATACATGTAATAAGAATGTAATAAGAATATATGTAAAAAGTGTGCAAGAAATATTTAGAAAATATGAAAAAAAAATACACTAATAACATGCATAACATATACATGAATCTTACAATGTTTTAAATGTTATTGTCATTGTATGAAGTTTAATAATTATGCAATCTATTCTGTTCCTTTCAATGTTCAAAGTAAATACAAATTCTCAACTCAAATATTTTCTATTATGTTTGTACCATAATACAATCAAAGAAGCATTCAATAATTATTTTTTCTTTCTTATGATTAGATTGGCAGCAGTGAGTTTCTTTATAATTTTTCTCTGACCAACGAGGGAGTAAAAAGTATTCCAACATGAACGTCCAACTGCATCCCATGGATCATATGCAGGGATACACAATGCCTAATTACTCTTGTATGTTGAATTTTGAGAAGAACTTTGTTTATGCGGAGAGTCAAGCGTTGATGAAAGACCATTTCCTAAACTGTTTCTACTACTGTGCCATTTACATCTTGCTAATTTTTGGAGGACGTCGTTATATGTCAAACAGACCAAAATTTGAATTAAGAGGCCTGCTTGTTTCATGGAACATAGCCCTTGCACTACTATCTATTTTTGCTTTTAGTAGATTTTCCCCAGAATTTCTCTATGTATTGAAGCATCATGGGTTCTACCACAGCGTTTGCTTACCTAGGTAATTACACTTTTATGTCTAATTTTTTAAAACAGTGTTTCACGATTTTTATATTTGACATTTGAAAGACTTTATTTTGAAAGTATGAAAATGAAAATCGAATTGTTCATAATGCTAATTATAAAACAGTCTGTTCGTTAATCGTTCTACATCATGAAAACTTATTTATTACAATTTTTATAGTACTATAGTCATTCTGTGAAGTATACTCTGTATAATAATTTTTCAATTGAATGGGACATAATAAGTATTGTTAAATCTGGGTACAAAGGGTGTCAGAAAATACATTTATTATATGTGCGATTCTAAATATCAAAACATGATTTGGACCTGTTTTTAAATTATTCTACTTCAATATAATTTTAGATCACATTAGATTATGTCGCACACTTTTGTACAACACCACCAGCAAATCCAATTTTTTTAAAGATATAGTATTAAAAAATCAATGTTCACTTCTATTGATATAAGGTAGAAAACTAAATTCTAAATCCTCGAAACGCGAATTCGGAATTCACGAAGTCGGAATTTTCGAAATTTTCGAAACTCTCGAGATTTGAAGTGCTGATTTTATTTCAGTTGATAACAGAGATTTCTTCTGTCAAGAACAGGAATCAACACTTTTATATCAGTCAAAAACATAATAACATACAAAAATATCTAGTCCAGATTCTTGTTTTAACACTACAGCTAAGATATATAATATAACATTTACATAACAGCTATATAATATAACATTTTATAATAAAATATAATAAATATAAAATAAACGAATAAACGAATATAATAAATATAACACAATAAATATAATAACAAAATATGAAAAATAACATCTGGTAATACTCTAATAATACAACGAATTGATGGATCTTATCGACTTATTAAATTCATTAAGGTTAGAATTTTTCACCGATAATCGTAAACTTTGACTTTTTTTTAAAAGATAAGCCTTTCCTTTATTTAAAAACAATCAATATCAAAAAATGAATATGCAGTACCTTTGGTGTTAACTTACGTATAACTATTATATTTTTTACAGACATCTCACACACAATCCCGTAAGTGGAGTTTGGGCGTGGATATTTACCATCATGAAATTACTAGAATTTGGCGACACTGCTTTCATCGTGTTACGGAAGCAACCATTGATTTTGCTACATTGGTACCATCATGTGACAGTTCTTCTTTATACATGGTTCTCGTTTGTAGAAACCGCAGGATCCAGTATGTGGTTTGGCATGATAAATGCCTTTATACATTCCTGCATGTATTCGTATTATGCTTTAAAAGCAATGCGATTCAAACCACCAAAATGGACCGCTATGACGCTGACTATGCTACAGATAACTCAAATGTTTTGGGGTATATTTATAACCATTTCAACATATTACTATGCACAAATTGCTCAAATTCCATGCAACGTTACAACTTTAAACCTCAAACTTTCTGCGTTGATGTACCTCAGTTACCTTATTTTATTTGCCAAGTTTTTCAAAGAGTCTTATCTATCTAAACAGAAATGTAAACAAAGTCGAAAAGAAAAATAAAATTAAAACTGATTGAAATTTGGTATTAAGTAAAATGATACCCATTGTCAATCTAAATATTAATTATTACAACCAGTGTACATGATAAACTATTATCTTTGTTTTTTTTTTTTCTAAAAGAG